CATTGGTGAGGCTGTTCCATTTTGGGCCACAAAGGCCCGGGGAAAAAAATTTCATTAAAATTTAAGGAGTACATAGAAACTGAAGGACTGGAAAAAATGAACAAGTTTTTTAAAATTGTGATAAAAAAGGGCCTTTTTTCTGGAAGAAAAATTTTCCAAGCAGGGCCTTTCAATTTCTCAGGGGGGAAAAGGCCTCCCCCGGACAAAGCCTAAAAGACAGGCTTTTCTTTGTTTAAGGTGCCAATGCTAGTGGGGATTGCAAAGTTAAGCCTTTTTTTAGGTTTTATCACCCTGAAACCCCCCAGACCCGGGGGTTTAGGAAAAGAATGTCCCCCAAAAGGGTAAAATTTGGGGTGTGCTTTAGGAGGGCAAAAAAGTAAGGAATTTGGGGCACTAGGGGGAATTTTTTTTTTCCCCCCAAAAAACTGGTTACACCTGGGATTTTTCCCCCAATTTTAAAGATTACCTTAAAATGAAAAAAATTTGACCTTTAAGGGGGCCCCCTTGGTTTGACCCCTTCCCCCAGGTCACCTAAAGACGTGGGAAAAAGCGACTTTTTGGGGGGGGAAAGAGCTTTAAATTTAAAGGGGGAAGTTTTTTTTCCCCAAAAAACCTCCTCTCCCTGCAAACCCATGGACCAGCAGGTCATTTCCAACTTCAAAAAAACGTAAAACAAAACTCGTTTAAAAAAGCTTTGAAAATGGGCCACCAACACTGATTGACTCAAAAAAAGTTTTTGGAAGGATCACTTTAAAAACCTCAATTGTTTTAAACCTTATAGGTAAGGTTTTGGGGGGGAGTACTAAAAAAGAACCTTTAACCTGCTTGGAAGGGAAAAGGTTTTCCAAAATGTGTAGACAAAAGGGATTTTTAAGGGTTTTTGGCTTAAACCCGAAAAGGGGTATATCCCAAATTGAGAATCAATTTTATGGAAATTGGGGAAATCCTTGGGGGTTGGGGGTTTTGTGGGGGGATGTGGAAAGTTGGTGGGGGGAGGGACAATGAAGAACTAACCACTGATAGGGGATAGATCAACCCTTTAAGAGCAAAAGGCCAAAACCCGGGAAACGGTTTCCCAAAAAGGGAGAGGGGAAAATTTTTAAAGGAAAATTTCCTACTTCAAAAGGGTTAAAAAAAATGTGTGCAAAAAGGCTTGAAGTGCAAAAAACCCCCTTTTTTATGAAAATCCCCCCCTCACAAAAGATATTGCAAAGCCGTGCGGGGGAAAATTTACAAAAAGGAACCCCTGTTTTGAACCCCCTTTAAACCCCAAAAATTCACGAAGGGGAAAAGGGCCCCCAAAGGAAAAAAAAGTTGTGCGAAAAATTCCCTGACCCCAAAATTCCTGTGGCCTTAAAAAAAAGGTGTAACCCCCCCGAAAAGGACCTTTCTTTCCCCAAAACCTATGGAAGGGATTCCCCTTCCCCCAAAACAACACCCATCTCTCCCCTCCTCCCCTTTCCCCCCCTTTTCCGTCTTTAACCCAAAATCCTTAATTTTATCCCAAAGGGGTTTTAAAAAAAAAAAATTTTTTTAAAAAAAAACCCCCTTACTTTTTTTCCCCGGTTAAAAGGGAAATTTTCCAACCCGCCCAAACAACCCCCCCCAACAGGGGCCCCCAAAAAAAACCCCACCCCCATTCCCCCCCCCAACCCCCCCCTTCCGAACCCTTTCCCCTACAAAGGATTTTAAATGCAAAAAAAACCCCCTTTTTTTAAATTTTAAAAAAAAATTTTTTTCCCCTACCCAATTTTTTTTTGGGGCCTTTACCGGTTTTTTTTTTTATAATTTTTTATTTTCACAAAACCCAAACCCCCCCAAAGGGGGTTTAAAAAAAAATTTTTCCCCTCAAAACCATCCAAAAACGCTTCCCCGGGAAAGGTGCTTTAACCAAGTTTTCGCAACAAAACCCCCCTTTTCCCCCCCCCCCCCCCTTCCCTAGGGGGCCGAAAACCCCCTACCAACCCGGGCCCCCTTTTCCCACCTGAACCCTTTTAAAGTTATTTTTTTACCAACCCTTTCCCCACCAATTCCGAAAAAACCTTTAAAAAAAAAACCCTTTTTCCCCCCCCCTTCCAAAAAGTTTTGGTAACCCGCCCCTCCACCAAAAATTTTCAACCCCCCCCCAATTCCTGGCCAATTTTTCCCCCCCCTTCCCTCAGACTGAAACTCCCACTGCCTCCCCTTCTCCTCGCGCAACCCCCTCAAAACCCTTCCCCACCCCTTAAAAAGTTTTTGGGGAACCCCCCCCGGAACCCCCTTTTAATTCCCCCTTTACAAATTTCCCTCCAAACAAAAGGCCCTTTGCCCTCCCAAAAGAAAATCCCAAAAGCCCCCAACCTTTTCCCCTAAAAAATTTTTAATTTAAACCCACCCTTTTTAACCCCCCCTGAACGAGGGAAAATAAAAATCCCCAAAACTTTCCCCCTTTTCCCCCAAAACTTTTTTTTCCCCCAAATCCCAATTCAACCATCACCCAATTTTTTTTTTCCCCCTAAACCTTTTTCTTTTGGGATTTACCTTTTTAAAATTTTTTATTTTGACACCCCTCCCAAAAAATTTAAAAACCACCCCCTTTTCCCCCAACTTCTCCCCCTTTTGATATTCCCCAACCTTTTTATCACAAAACCTTTTTTTTACCTCCCACCCTTTTTTTTGATTCCCTTTTTTTTTTCTTTTTTAACACCCAAACCCCCTTCCCAAAAACCCCCCAAATTTAAAATTTCTTTAAAACCCCAAACCCCCTAAATAAAAAAACGAGGGAAAATACAAAATTCCCCTTGTTGGCCAACCCTTTTAAAATAAAACCCTCCCTTCCAAACCCTATTTTTATTTCCATAAAAATTAATTTATTAAAAAAACCCCTGCATAAAACCCTCCCTTTTTTGGGGCCACTTTTTTGGGTTTTTCCCTTTCCACTAATTTTTTCCCAAACTTATGGGGGAAAATTAATACCCCCTAAACGAAAACCCCCTAAAGGGAACCCCCCTTTTTTTTCCAAAAATATTTAAAAAAACATTCCGGCTGGGGGACAATTTTAAACATAACATTTTTTTTAATTTGGGGGTTAACCCCGCTAAAAACCCTAAAAAAGGAAAACCAAAGGACCCCCCTTTTTAAAGTTGGGAACAAAAAAAAAAAACAAAAACAGCCCGGGACAACCCCAAAAAAAACAAACAATTTTTTTTTTAAATTTTTTTCCCCAAATTTTTTTTTTTTATCTTTTTTTTTTTTGGGGGGGTTTTTTGTTAATTTTTTTTTTTTTCCCTTTTTTTTTTTTAGTTCAAAGCCCTACCCAAAAACCACCCAAAAAAATTTTCACAAATAAATTTAAATTTAAAATTTAAATTAGGGATCCCAAAAAAAAAAAATAAAAAAAAAATAACCCAAATTTCACTCATTACTTACCTTTAAAAATTTTATCCAAGGGGGGGCAAAAGTGTTTTTAAAAAAAGAAAACAATTTGGAGAGGGAAGAAATTTTTTTCCCGGGGGGACCCCAACCCAAATTAAATTAAAAAAACCCGGCCCCCAAAGGTAAATGTAAAACGAATTACACCTTGGGTTTGGGGTAAATTTAAAAAAATTGGTGGGGAAGGGGTTGTTTTAAGAACCCGGGTAAATAAAGGAAGGAACACCCCCTACCATTTAAATTTTAAATTTTTTAAAAAAAATGAGCCGAAAAAAATGGAAATAATTTACTCAAAATTTTTCCCTTTATTTTAGTTTTTACAATGAGTTGTTTAAAAGAGATAAAAAAATAAAAAAAGGGGAAAAGTTATCCTGGGGAATAAAATTATTAAAAAAACCCAAACCCAAAAAGGAATAATTTTTCTACATTTTTTCCCCAAATTTCAAAATTTTTTCTCTTATTTAAGAAAAATTTAAAAAAAAACTTCACAGACCCCCTTTCTTTTAACATCTTTTTTAGGAAATTTTTTTCTATTGAAAGGGTGTAAAAAATCATCTTTTTTTTAATTAGGGGTTTTAAAAATTTTATTTTGAAAAAATTACTGAATTTTTGGATTTTGAAAATTTTAATTAAAAAAAATAAAAAACTTACATTTTAAATTAAACCCCGTAAAAATACCCCCTTAAAAAATTTACCTTTGAAGGGGAAAAAAAAACGTCTTACTTTTAAAAATTTTCCCCCCCAAAATTTAAAGGAAGTTTTATTGAGGGGTTAAAAAAACCCTCGTTTTTGTTAAGACAGATCCGTTGACAAATAAATTTTTAAAAAATATATATTTTAAATAAAAGTTTAAACCCCTTTGACCCCAAAAAGAAGTTATTTTAATCCAAATTTACTAAGCCCTTCCTGGAGAATTAAAACCCAATCCCTTTACTGCCGAAAAATAAACCGAAACCCCCAAAAACCCGACCCCCAAATCCCCTACCCCCGGCCGGGGTGAACCCGCGGGCAAGGGGTCCAAAACCCGGGCCCGCCCCGGGGGGGGGTTTTAACCCCAAACCCAATTTAAAAATTCTTCCAACTTTAATATTTTAAATTGTTTCCCGGCATTTTCCAGAAATGAAAATTTTTTTAAGTAACCTTTATACTGGGGAAATTATCAATTTTTAATTAAAAAAACAATAAATTTTTAAAATTTGAAAATTTTATTTCCCAAAAAAATTGGAGAGCCGGGGTTAAGCTTAATGAGCCCCACAAGAATGTAAACAAACCCGGGGGGGGGTTTTTTTCCCAAATTTTTTGAAAGGGGAAATGGGGGGGGGTTGGGGGTTTTTTTTTTGGAAAAGGGGTTTGGGGGTGCAAAAGTAAATTTTTTTAAACCCCCTTTATTTTAATGTTTACCGAGCCAAAGTTTGAAGTTTTTTTAATACAAAATAAAATTTAATTTAAAAGAAGGGTAAAAATTGGGAAATAAATTTTTAAAAAATTTGTATTTTTTTGGGGCCCCAATAAAAAAATTTGGGGACTTGAGTCAAAGAAGAAAAAAACCGACCTTTTTTTTAAAACCCCGGTTTTGGGGGTGTAATAAGTTTTTCAAATTTTTTAAAAACCGTTTAGGGAATCCGTAAAAAAAATGGAAAACATATTTTACAGAATGTTTTGATTTTAAAAAGTTTTCACGGTTTTAAACAACCGGGGAAAGGGGGCCCAAAGTTTGGGAAATTGGTTTTTTTTTCCCGTGTTCAAAGAAAAAAACCAACCCATCATAAAAGGGGAAAAATAAACCTTTCCGGCCCCTTTTTTTTTTTAAAACCCATTTTTACATAAAACAGTATTTTCAAAGTAAAATTTTTTTTTTTTGTTTTAAAAAAAAAAAATTAAAAAAGAATAATTTTTAATTTTTTAAAGAAAAACCTTAAATTGACCAAATTTCGGGGAAAATTTGTTTATTTTAGTGCCCAAAAGTCTAAAAATTTATTAATTTTGGGGGTCCTATTTTTAAATTCCGATTTTTTTTTACCCTTTTTTAAAAAAATGCCAAAAAGGCCCGTTTTAAAAAAATTTTTTTTTTAAAGGGTAAAAAAAAAAATGGGAAAAAAAAAAAGGGGGCCCGAGATACCAAATTTAAAGAAAAATGGTTTTTATGAAGAAAAAGCTAAAAGATTTGGTCCAATTTTTAAACCCCCTTTTTTTTCGGAAAATTGGGCCCCAAAAAAAGGGCTCCCCAAAAAGGCCAAAATTTTTTTTCCCGAAAAATTTCGGGGATGGTTTTTGGGGCCCAAGGACCGGGGGTAAACCTTCGGGGGGGAGCAAATTTAGATTTCCGTGAGTTTTTAAACCCAAAATTTTTTACTTTTTTTTGTCATTACCATCGGGGAAAAAATTCTCTTTTCATTTCATAAGATTTTTTTTTTTTTCCCGAATTTATCGAAAAAAGGGAAAACAGTTTCAAAAGGGGCCTGTTACAATTTAAAAGGGGTTTAAAGGGCCCGCAAAGAAATGGTTTTTAGAGATTTAAAGGGAATGTTAAAACAATTTCACATTTTGGGGAGACATGGCAAGGGTTTTATTCGACAAAAATGGCTTTAAAAATATTTTAGGAATTCAAGGGGAAAATAAAGCTAAAAAATTCAAACCCCAACCCCCTTTTTTCAATTGTGACAAACCCCCCCTCTTTGGGAAAAAATGGCCCAAAAACCCACATCATTCATGAGGAAAAGGCAAATTTCCCGGACCAAGCCTATGAAAACCGCTAACTCTCCCTGTTCTGTAGCAAAGCTAATTGGGGTTTCAAAGTGAAAACCTTTACGTTGTAACACTCCCGAAAATCCCAGAGTGTTCAAGAAAAAAATTTTTGCCAGGGGCAAATTTTTTTTGGGTTTTGGGGGCAAACAGTAACATGGATCAAAATTGGACATTTTCCTTAATTTGGGTTTAGTGAAGTGTTTTTGGGCCCCCGGGTGAAGAAATAAACCCCCTGGAAAATAAATTGGGAAATCAATCTTCCTGGAAAGGATAAAGGGGCCCAGCCATTCCTCCCCGACAAAGGAAACAAATGGGTGAAGGAGTTTCAAATTTATCACAGTGGGAAATTCTTGCGATTTTAGGGAAACCTCATTCCCAAAAAGGCCCGGTTGGTTTTTACTCAGAACTCTCGACCCGGGACAGGTCATAGCAGGGTCTCCTTACTTGCACAGTAACCCCCACGATCCCCGTTTTGGGGGGGGTAACCTCAAACCCCTCCACGAAGTCTCATCTTGGAGAATTAAGCCCAAAATCTGCTTTTCGCAAAGGCGCCAACAAGCTTGAGCTTGCAGCTTCTCCAACACTTTTATTCAGCAAAGTTTTTCCAAGAACACGCACTGAAAAAAAAAATTTTATCATCACTTTTTTCGAAAGAAAACTGAAGCTGACAAGGTGCTTCCCCCTTTCTCCATGAAGACCTTAGAAAACCCAGGTTTTTCCAAACTCTACACAACCCTAAATCTTGCAAAATGTTCATGTTTATGAAAAGCTTGACAAGCGATCACAACATTGGGCCCTCCAGGAAAAATTTTCCCACATCACTTGAAGACCTCAACACCCGGGGGCCCCAAAATTGACCCAAAGTAGTAAGTTTCCCCAACCTCCCCAAAAGCTCAAGTCACATTCCTGGACGTTTTTTCCATGACGACCAGGGGGCACGTTTTGGGCCTTGGGCCCTCTTTTACTACTACATCAACCCCCACAGATTGAACCTGAACCCCTTCACATACATAAAAAAACCCTTTCTGGACATGTTTCTCATCCCGCCTCTATGGGGCCCCTGCCACGTGAAGAAAAAGAAGATTTTCCCCTGTGGGGGCTGGGGGACAAAAATTTTCGTTCTTTCACTTCCACTGCTGCTCCCACTTCATCAAATTTTAAGATTTATCACCATACTCTTTCACCAAGTTCCCCGGCGAAAGGGTATCCTTTCTAAGAAACTAAAGGGAAAAACAAGAAACATCTGGAACCCCCTCCTACATACCTGCAATTGCCAAAATTCAAACTACAACATCCAAGATTCTTCAAGCTAAATCAACAAATCCTCCCAAGAAAACATCAACATCTACTCAGCCCCCCTCCACCGTCCCCTTTACCTTTTCCCCAACATTGAAAGTAACCAAGATCCCCAAATGTTTTTTTAACGGGTCCACATGCAGAAATGGGGTGTAAAATGGATCATTTTTTAAATTCAAACCATCAACGAGTTTTTTTTGCATTTAAAAAACATGCCTTCATTTACTTTCCCGCCAAACTCCCCCTTCTAAGAAATTTTCAAAATTTTCCAAAAACTTAAAACGCCAACTCTTTTGGCAGAAGTTCCATCAACACCACCAAATATTTACGTCAATCCAACAACGCCCCAAAGAGAAGCCTCCACTGCCACCCAAACCCTCCGAAACCCCCAAACCAAAACAAAGCCTTTCCACCAAAACCTCTTTTAATTCGTCTAAGAAGTTAAAACGAAGCAACACCCCCCTTTCCCCTACCCACCACCGCCTTTTCTACTTAGCTCACGTCATTTAAATGGAAAAACCAAAGCTTTTAAAAAATAAAGGACTCGAATTTTACAAACCCCGAGGCTATACCCTGCAAGCATACTCGCCCCCAAACTCATCCCCAAAACCCCCAAGACAACACTGAAACGTACCCAAAAGGGGAAAAAAGAAACCCCCTCCCTACCACAAAACCCAAAACTCCACCACCCCCCAAACCAAGAAGACTACTTAAAAGGGTCTCCCATAAGTGTGATACAACTCCCCAAAAAAATATACCCCCACTGGTAAACGGTTTTTTAAAACCATAACCAAAACCCCCTCTTTCTGCCTTTTTGGGCACTCCCACTCCTACCACTGCCTCGCCACCTCTCCTTAAAGGAAACCAAGGGAATGACATCAAACAAGCCCTCTCTATCTACGTCTCCAAAAACTTTTTTACCACATGTCCCAAAGTGGGGTTGGGGCCCCTTGCCCCTTTATTCCCCCCTCTTCCCCTCCTCCCCCCCTTTTCCAGTTATTTCCTCCTTTTTTAAACCCCTTTTTCCCTTCCCATCTTTCAAGCCTTTTCGTCTCCGATCCGGGTCCCTTTTCCCAATTTTCCCCCTAATACCACTCCCTCTCCCAGCCCAAGACCACAGGTCATTTCAAAATTCAAAAAAAATGTACACCAAAGCCGTTTTCGAAAGTCTTTTAATGACCTCAGCACGAATTTTACCCCAAAGAGTTCTGGAACATCACTTCAAAAATTTTCCCCCATTGCATAAACCTTATAGGGTAAGGCTTGGAGGGAGGGACTTCCAGGGCTTGGAACTCGGGGGAAAATTTTTGGGAACAGGGTACAAAGAGGGGGTTTTTTAAGGGGTTTTTTGGGGACCCCTGGAAAGAGGCCTAAGGGCCCGTTTTTGGGAAAGGGACTGTGGGATTTGGGGAAGGTTTTATGGGGTTGGGGGTGAATGGCGAGGAGTGGAAAGTTGGTGGAAGACCTCAGGGAAAGCTAAAAACTGAAGAGGGTTTTTTTGAGTTTTTCACCTGGGGTAGCAACAACCACAACTCAGGGAAAATTTCTTTAAGGAGGAAAAGAATTGAGGAAGGTGCCTTCTTTAAAGATTAAAAAGGGCAATTTTTGCAAATTTCAAACTTTTTTGGATGAAGTTCACCCTGACAAAGCTGTTGGCAGGGTGTGTTACAGCATGTACAAATGACATGTTGGGTCCCCCCTTTTAATTGACATTATAAAGAAAGGCCCGATACAACCTCTCTGGGAAAAGTTTTTTTTTTCGACAAGGGGCCAAGGGCCTCAAGCGGTCCAATGGTATTAAACCCCTAAACGGTCCCAAAATTTTAAAAACAATGTTTTTAAAAAAACCCTTTTTTAAACCCCTAGGGCCCCAAAATTATTTACGTTTCAGTGTCCTACATTAAAAAATGCCACGATAAGCCTGAGTCGCCAAAAAAAGTGAGAAGGGGGTGACACTCACAGTGCACCATATTAAAAAAAATTCGGGGGCCTGGGTACCATATTCTCTTTTTTTCCTATTTAAAAACCCAAAAATGTTTTTTTTTTTCCCCAAAAAAATTGGGGGAGTACGGTAGTGAACGTATATATACGTTTGGACCGTTATTTTTGGTTTAAAAAAAAAAAGGGGAAAATAACCCCAGAAAGGACTTGCTACCTAGAGTCCTTATTTTTCCTGCATGGTGTCCTCTCTTCCCCATCAAATTGGGAAACAAAGATAAGTAATTTTTATAGGTAATTATTACAGCATTGAGGAAATAAGTTATTATTAAATTATAATTTTTTTAATACACTGGCCATCTCCCACCATGGCAGTGGGACTTTGAAAAAGAAAAACAAAAGTTTTCCTTCTTTCCACATTCAGTAATTTATGAAGGAGAAGGGTTACTAGCCCTTTTTCTTCTGGCATTTTTTGCCTCTTATCACACACTTTTTACAAAAGAAAGATTCTTCTTTGCCTCCACCATGAGTAAATGATAATATTAAGATCAGATATGGTAACCATTTTTTTTGGTTTATAAAAATAAAAGTGTATATTAACTTGTACATTTACACTTAAAGTACAAAATAATTTTATTCCATTTCACACATTTATCGAAACTGCCTGGACAGTTGCGTCTGTGGAAAGAGCGTGCTCAGTTGGATGTTATAATGAATGATAACAACACCATGCAGAGCGACCCACCTCAGCATATTTACATCACATGCAACTTTTGTAAGAAAGCATTTCTGCATACATCCAAGCCCGGACGACCAAGAAATCCATATGCTAGAATTTGGCACTGGATCAGCAAATAAATCTAAGGTAATAAAATATTTTAGTGCTTTCAAAATCTTCATTTCATTTGCATGTTTTTGTAATGTTTGTAATTTTATCCCAAAAACAATATCATTTTTATGATTTCCATTCGTTTTTGGGGTGAATGTAGAGAGTAAAATTTATCTGCCATTCTGACAAAATAAATGTGAGAAATTGTTCTCTTATTAATAACCTTCCTTAGCTGGAGACTTCACATCAACCTTGGCCTACCAGATGATCAGCCTGTAACTGATTTCATCAATAATATGACAACACACATCTCATACCAACAATAACTAAACCAACCAGGCTGACGAGACAAGTGCAACTATAATTGAACCACATACGAACCAAATACAAAGCCCCATATAAGTTCATGGATAATCACAGACAGCACTACAGACCACTACCGGCCACCTTCCTCTTAAACAAACATAGTAAACCACCACTGGAATACAACAAAGTTTCATTTAAACTCATGAACGAGCCTCAAAAGTAATTTCACAGCCACCTAGAGACTGTTTGAACTGGCCTACAGAATTCTCCAAGTCAATAGTATTGATGATTTGACAGACATTTTTCTTAATAAATTACTTAGACTATACAACAAACATAGTCCTGTAAAAACAAAACAATCACGAATAAACGCTTAGCTTCCCATGCAACCAGCAGCATTCGAATCCAATTGGTTAAGAATCACCAATATGAAAGCAATATAGACAGGCTTAATACACAAAATATCCTTGAACACTGCTCAATCAGTTTCACCAAACTAATAAAAAAAAGCCAAACAGTTGCACTACCCACAGATTCACTGAAACAAGAGGAGATATAAATAGACTGGAAAACACACACCCAATTCTGGGACCCCAAAACTGAAAAAAAAAAAAAAAAGAATATGTCCCTACTAAACCTAATAAACACAACGCATCCCAATGGGGGGGGGGGGGGGGATACAGTTTAACAAGATACGCTTCTCAACCATAGAATTCTGATCTCAGCCATAAAATCCCCAAGTAACCAACGCTCGTGCCGGTGACTACCGAGATGGAATTTCCCAAAATTCCTACTGTCTTGCCAACTGAGCCCATGGAATCACCACGATTATAAAAGTCACTTAAAAATAACTCAGTAATCTGTCTCACGTCCCACCATTATTGTACAAGCGAGCGGCCCATGTCCTTCCATTGCTATTACATTATTTTTTTAACAAGTCACTAGAAACTAGCACTTTCCCGACACTACTCAAGACAGCAAGGTTTACAACCAGTACATAAAGGTGGTGATCTTACTGATGTAAACAACATGGCCAATATCAAACTTACCATTGCTATCCACAATCTTCAAGAAACTCATGCACAGGAGACTTCATTATAACAGCACAAAACATACTTCAGAGCCCCTGCAATTTGGCTTCAGAAAAAAAAAAGCAACTAATGATGCAATTATAAAAAATTGCTAGATCTGCTTTAACAAGCATTGGAAAATAGGAATATCCACTAGGACTTTCTATTGACCTAAGAAAAAGCTTTTGACACGTAGACCATGGGCATCCTAACCCATAAACCTGACCATTATGGTATAAGAGGCCATGCGCTTGCATATTTCAAATCCTACCTTACTAATAGGTATCAGTAATGTTCACCATAAAGACACCGCCTCATCAGCACACGGCACTTGATACTGAATGCCACAGGGAAGTGTCCTTGGTCCCCTGCTCTCCTCATGTACACAGTGATCTCGCCAATGTATCCCAACACCTGAAACCCATTCGGTCTCTTTGCTGATAATACGAATTATGTCATCTCCCCACCCAAATCTTGCCCACCCTCAACACCATTGTTAACCCTTTTGACTGACGCAACCCCCAATCCTGAGGTGTCTCCTGGTGTCGCAAAATTAAAAAAAAAAAAAATTATTTTTTCTTATGAAATGATAGAGAATCTTTTCCCGATTGTAATGACACAAAAAAACAAATTTGATGGAAAACTGACGGAATTATGCCCTCGCGAAGTTTAGCGACCTCGGTGCTGTTTACAAATCGGCGGTTTCGCCCAATTTGAGCCCAATTTTCGGCTAAATTCCATTGTTCAGTCGCCAAACTCATAGCTATTTCTTAACTCCATTTTTTCTATCGTTTGAGTACAAGAAACTGCCCATTTACCGTTTTCAACTACCTAATAATGTGGTCAGAAATTTGCAATTTGGCCAATTTCAACGAAAACCTAAAAAATATGACAATTCAAAATAAGGTCCCAGAATGAACAATGCAGACATTCCTGGCCTAAAAATAACATTTTCTTTGTTTCTCAGTCCATGTCTCCAGGCCCCTCTGATCTTACTGTTGCTTTCTATTTTGAATTTTTATTCAAACAAAAAATGATAAGACTTACTATTATGCAACATACTGCAATACTGTAATAATTGTATAAATAACATCCAACCATTTCATGACTGCATATTTAGAATGGCTGTTGACATTTAATTGGACAATGGCATCATTGTTTACTTTTGAACATTGGCAAAAATCAAACATTTCCCCTCTTTCCTCCATTTTCTAGGTTCTTTTTATAGTAAAATCAATCAAATTACCTCTATTTCTATAATAATGTTTTCCATTCTATCAATTGAGACCAAGAAAACGAGAATACAACCATAAATACTAATACGAAAATAGACCACAAAGTCGGCATTTTTATTAAAAAAAATGGTCGAGTTTTTTTTTTTCTCATTATGCACTGCGTGCTCCAGATTTTTTTATATGGTGCACACTGACCACACAGACCCATTCTCTCACGATGTGGGCCTACAGCTTTCCTCCCTGCTGATTTGAAGCCGCTAGAATTTTATGAGTATATATTACGTCAAACAACGGTACCTTCGTAAGACTTATATATACGGCCGCGACAGTCAAAGGTTAACAAGGAGCTGCTCAAAATATCTACTTGGATGACTGCCAATAAACTAACACCTTAACACTGACAAACCCTACTATTATTATGGTTGGTAGCAGAGCAGTGTTGCACAAACAAACATTAAGAATCAACAATACTCTAATTGCCAGACATAAATGAGGGCAAATTCCTAGGGCCTGTACCTCGACAACAACCTAATTTCACACCCATTCCAACACACAAACAAAAAAAAGTATCCAAAACGGCTGGGATCCACTCCATAGATATGATACTACGTGCCACGATCTACCCTTCTCACACTATAACCATTCACTCCTTTATCCATACCTCCCTCTTCAAGGGCTTCCTTGGCGTGGGGGGTGGAAGAGCTCTTGTCGAGGAATCAGACCCTTCGTCTCCTGATCCACAGACCGAACCTAATTACCCCCCAATCCCCCGTTTCCCTATCCCATCCTCCCCATCCTCCCCTTTTTCCTTTCCTCCTCCTCATCCCCACCCCTCCCTATTTGCCCTTCCTTTTTTTTTTTTTTCACGAGGCCACGCTAGTTCCTAGTATGGGAAAGGGTACCGGGGTCCATCCATTCCGTTGAGGTTCTTTGTGGTGCGTAGTTTGCTGTGGAATCTGGATGCCTGGGGAGTCCCGATCCCTCCCCCGGTATCCCGGAGGGTGGCTTTTGGGTGGGTCTCGGGCGACGGTGTATCTCTGGAAGCCTCCTTTCGGATTCCGGGGGTGGTGGCCGAAGGAGTATGCTTTGTGGCATATTTTCCGGCCGCCCTCTCTTTTGTCCACCGAGGTAGCTCGGCAGATGTGAGGTGCTATCCCGGATTGCTGGTTTACAGCATGATGGGTAGGGTATGGCAAATGGGTTTTCCATGCTGCATCTTCTGCGCTACTTGCGGTGGCTGAGGTCCTCTGGGGCGGGAGGGAGATTTCTGTCCCTTTCATTCCTCCCTAGGAACTATCCCTCCCCGGTCCCCCCTTTTTTTTTTATTCTTTTTTTATTTCCTTTCTTCTTTCCTTTTTTTTTTCTTAAAACAAACCAAAGAAGTAACCTAACCAAGGCAGCCCTAGTCCAAGAACTGCTACCCCCCCCGGGGCCCCTTCTGATACCGCACCCCGTTCTGACCCCCGCCTCGTCTTTGGACCACTCTTCGGGCACTCCTCATGCTTCTGTAACCTCTTGCCGGTGCTGTTTCCTCACCCGCTTCGGTACTGAGCCTTCGACTGACTCCTTTCGATTTATCTGACCTCACTCTCCTCTGAACTATGCTTCCCGGATCCCTCTCCCTTCTCCCTCTATCTGTGCGGCAATTTTCGACTCGCCAACCCGTTCCACGTCAGACCAACTCTGGTCCCACGCCTAAACGCCAACGACAATTACCTGCAGATGATACTTCTCCACCTTCTCGTTCTTCACAGAAAAGAACGACACGTCCTTCATTACTTCCACACTCAAGTTTCAGACTGCACAATGGACTAAATTCTTCATCTTTACGACCGACTTCCTTCTACTGGCCTATCTTTTTCTGACCACAAGTATTGGCAAGGCACTCCTAACGCCATGTTGGTAAGATATTTCTTTTTCATGCTCTAAGGGAGAGGTACGACACATCATCACCGTACAGAATGCTACCCAGGCTCAGAGCTTCTCGTCCTTTCCCCATATCGATACTGTTTTCCTGTCACTCATTGAAAAACATCATTCCCTCAATTCTGTAGTGGTACCGTCATTCTGCCCCATACCATAGTTCAACAAAATTTCCAGACATTTGCACTGACATTCTTGAAAGCTGGAACTCCAAGATCTCCGCAATCCTCAAGGTAGACACTTATGTTCTTCTGCCCACGGCGGAGACGATACCCTAGCAATGGGCCTCATTTAAATTTTACAGCCGTTGAATCTCCACATCCTCATTTATGTAGCAGGACATCGGTTTACAAGTTTCGAAAGGTGATCCCTACAACCGCAACAGTTGTAGAAATTGCTGGCGATTGGCCATCCCAGGCGAAATATTGCAGATCTATCGCCGAATGCCAGTCTGTGGTCCGATGACCATTCTAATACGTCTTGCCAATCGTACCTCCCTCTT